TTATTTGTTCGAAGAATATCACTGAAACCATCTGGAAATTTATAGGAACATTCAGCCACAATGTATGGTTTACTGCAATGCAAGAAGAATTCTACCGACGGATCACTTGTATCTGACTTGCTTTGCAGCATTTAATGCAATTCGAGACTGTTTCCGTGAACATCTGGAAAATAACGCCAATTTATATGGAGACAAATAATAAAAACAAATTAAAATTTAAAAAAAAAATTTTGTTATCGATATTTTTTCTCTTTCAAATTATTTTTGTTCTCTGTTAATGAATTGTGCAATAGGCTGTTCTGCATGACTGGTCAAGCAAAAGTTTCTATGCATTTGATAACTGGATTTGTTGATAAGAACTGTTAACATCTTAGGACAATTTAGGATAAATCAATGAGTATATAATAACAATAAATTTATCAGTGAAACAATAAAAATTGTGAAAATTTTGTTTTGAAAACAAAATATCGACTGAATAATTTTTATTTTTTTATCATTATGAAACAGTGTAGTACGAAAAAAAAATAACATTAAAACTAACTATCAGATTACAATAATGGTAAATTATACATGGTGCTGTTTAGAGTATCATTTTCAGGAGAATCTTAGATAGTGAGCATAACTTCAAAATAAAGAGTAAATTTTTTGAAAAAATTTCACCAAATTTTTGTCTAATCTTCACTCTTTATGATATACTGCTGCAATTAATCTGCAAAGGACAGTGAAAACAACTAAAATAATGATGATACATCTGATAATTTTTCCTGCCAATAAACAGCTGCTTCATAAATGTGACAGAATTTACGCTAACACTTTAACTATTTTAACCATTAATCACATATGATTGTGCTGCTTAAATAAGTGCAAAAATCTACTAAACTATAGTTGTTGATAAAACTATTGAAAAAAGTCATTGTTTTGATACAATAGAAATGGGTACAAAAAAAATATGTAGGAAGATATACACATAGATTTGAATTAAATCATGTAGATCATTAAGAGATAAAAAAATAGGTTTTAGATGCTAAAAAATAATTACAATTTTATGCAGTAGTCATTATGATTACACCAAAAAGAATATTTCACATACAGTTTTGTATATAAATTAGAATAAGCTGTTATTTACAGAGTAAAATTATCTGTTCGTTGTAGAAACCAAAGAAAAAACGGTTTTTTTTGTTTTGACATAAAAAATTAATGCTGAAAAAGATTATTCATTTGTTCTATTTTCTCAACATTTCTTCAGAATTATCAAAAGCAAAAATTTTATTTAAAAAAAAAAAAAAAAAAAAAAAAAAA